AGAGCTTTGTGCTAAACCACTCTCACTACTACATAAATGAGCCGTAAGCCAACTACCAGTTACAGTGAGGGGGGACTGGTTGGACCCTCTTGGTTTACCATAATATTGGGTTGTACCACTACTGTTTTGAGTTATCAAGGCATCTTCAGGGGCACCAGCCAACTTCCTTCAGACCAATAGCCCATTCAATACCCATTAGCTCCCTAATCTTTTAAATTAATTAGAACCTTTGGATTGGAGCTCACATACCCCCCTCTCAGAGCAGTGAGGGGTGTATACAGAATAAGAATAGCTGTATTAATTATAGTATGTAAAGTACAGAGTGCAAATAGAAGCGTAAAGTAATGATAGGAAAAGGGAGTAGTGGAATAAACTAAGACTTCCGGGGCAAATACTTAACTGTGAATCCGCATAGTTCGTTATTCAAACGACTTGCTGTTAGCATCTTCGGATTGGTAACCTTTACATTAGGTTGTGTATTCATTCAGGCAATAGCCTTAGCAACGGACTTGAAGTGGAATACCTCATGATCAGCTACTCGTGTTAGTTCTACAGGTTGTGGACTAGCAGAACCTAGCTTAAGGCGTTCAAGAATGGATTGGTCCTTGATAGGAATATAGAGGGCCAGTAGTGCTTCTAGAGTCAAAAGCTGTTCGACAGTATTAGGCAGCCGCGTACGTGAAAGAGTAAATCCATTATAAAGTAGCGTATTACTATCCAATAGGCTAGAGATAGACTTTACACCTAGAATGTTTTCTAGACTTTCTGCTCCCCTCTGCATAGAACTGAAACACCATAGGTGTTGAATGTTCCCTTGATAGAAAAATACTTCTTGTCGAAGAAGCTCTCGGTTACTTTCTGCTGTAGCCATCCCTCCTGGACTTCCAGCAGCTACATAGAGTGTATTATTTTGTGGATGTAGTGATAGCATCTAAGAACACCTAAGGTGTTCGATATCGCATTTTCTTTAGATGATCAGGGGAGTCATAGATCCGCAGCGTGAAGTTAGCAATACCTGTTACCTTAATATCAGTTAGAATCTTTCGAAGAATAGCCTTACTATGACTCTTTCAGTAGTGAGCAAGTCGTTCTCATAGTACAGTACTACTTCCAACATAGAGTGCATCGGAAATAGTATTAAGTCACATATAGATTCCTCATTGTCCTTGGCCCTTAGGCATCTTTGGATACAACTTCTTTAGTGCAGCGATCATCTCCTTTAGAGAAGCCATACTATAGGTATTATATGGAATAGCAATCAATTCAGCTAGTTCGGAAGCAGTAATAGGAGCAAGTCCTTGTGAACCTAGCACAGCGTTAATGTCGTTGTGTGTAATTGGTCCACCTCGTGCGATAATTCGTGCAGCGATGCAGTGTAGATTAGTTGTTTCTTGATTAGTATCAAGTTCTGCTCGGTTCTTTCAGTATGTCGAATAGAGTCGAGCTCCTCCGGACCCTACCACTGGTCCCAAAATGGAAGTAGTAGAGAACAGAGAATATGTATGGAGTAGTAGTAGTGTTGTGTTCATATTGAATATCATAATGTCCACTAAGCAAGAGTGGACTGCCGTGTTACAGCGATAGGAGCGAACTATCTAAAACATCTATGATGTTTCCTATGATGTTTCCTATGATTTATGAGACAGTCCCTTAGGGGCTGCAGTTATACAAACACCTATGGTGTTTGAATCGAACTAACACTTACGGGGCCAAAGACCGCTGACCTGCCTTTAGTCTACTATCCATACATCTCTTATATATGTTCCATCATCACTCCACCCTAAAGGAAACCTTGCTTGGATTCGGAATAATCCATAATGAACTCGCATCATACCTCAACAAAGTTGAGGGAGCCACCAAAAAACGATGAATTACCATTATTCTACTTCCCATATCTCCTAAACTTGCCGCTGGAAAGAATCGAACTTCCGTTTCTTAGTTACAAAGTAAGCGTTCTACCATTGAGCTACAGCGGCTACCAGGAAAGGGTTATAAAGGCACCCCAGCCCTAGAGGGAAACATCACAGATGTTTCGAACTTGTGTTTCCGCTTCGAAAGGGCGGAGTACTAACCACTGTACGAATAGGTCTAGATTGTGCGCCTCCACGAATTGAACGTGGAACTAGAAGTCAGGAGCTTCTGGTGATAACCATTTCACTAAGGCGCATTAAAGGGGATAAAGAACCTAGGACTATATTATTAGTGAAGGTATTCTGCATCGTATAGATACGTCCTAGTCAAAATTGTAAATACATAAGCTTGGATTACACTTACTGCGAATTCTAGTCCTACTAGTGCGATAAAGATAGCTAGTGGTAGTAGTGAAGCAATTCCTGCAATTACTCCAAAAGTCATGATCTTATATAGCATTCCAGCTAGAATATTAAGCAAAGCGTGCCACGCAACAATATTTGCCAAAAGCCGATATAAATATCCTAGAATCCTCGCTTCATTCAAGAGATAATTCCTGAACTGTGATTACTCTTTACATCTTCATTATATGTCATATCTTCATTACAGGTAACAAGTGCACTATCTGTAGGTACCGTATGTACTGTATGCGTGTGTTCGAGGTAGTATTCAAAGGGGAAATTGGATCAGGAAGTGAGCTTGATGATTCTACTACTCCTTCCTGTAGTCGCTTAGCATTGTAACGCATTTGATATATATTAGCATACACTCGCATCAGTGTTCGCTTTCAATTAGTGTCAAATTGATTACGTAGCTGAGTAAGGCAGTTAAAACCCTCTATGATGTTTGGTGTCCAGGGGCAGTTGGACTAGAGTAAGTGTACGGCGTAAGCACGACATTAAAGTTAGCTCCTGAAAGAGTAATAAGATCTTCAGTTGCAAACTTGCTTTACATATAAAGTTGTCCTGTGTCTTGTGCTGTTGAAGAAATGTTGTACCGTTGCTTGATATAACTAAGATGACTCTTGATCAAATCAGTCAGATCCGTAGTAAAGAGAGGGAAGTGATCAAGGTTTGGCATGTATAGAATTGATCCATCTGGCCCTACGTGAACCAGTACTCGGTGCTTATTCACCACCAAGAATAGGATCGCCCCTAGATATGCGTGTGAACCAAGGCCTTGGATGTATTGCAGAGCTGTTTGGTTGATTAGTAGTTGTCGAATGTTCGTCATCGTTGTCTTCATGGTTTTATTTAGTCGTAATTTGAGTTAGCTACTCATTCCCGCAATGAAATAGCCTACCCTAAGGACACCCT